TGTGTGTGTGTGTGTGTGTGTGTGTGTGTGTGTGTGTGTGTGTGTGTGTGTGTGTGTGTGTGTGTGTGTTATAATGCGTGTGCAGCGCACGCGCCGGACCGTTTTAGTCCGTCTGTCGGGGATGGACCGCAGCCCACGCGCACCGTGCGGGATGTGCGGCTTGTTTATGCAGCTCGGTACCAGAGGGAGGGGTTCTGTTCGGCCCGGCTGCAGGTGCACCAGAACCACACAGAACCACAGGCCTACAGACAGAAACTGGGTCAGAGAGTCCAAGAACCGGTCCAGAACTGAAGACTAACAACTTGAGTCAGAACATGGGTCAGAACCAGGGTCAGAACCAGACAGAACATGGGTCAGAACCAGAGACACAACTTTACTGTCACAGGGCTGCAGCATGGACAGGAGGTTCTGGTTCTGGACTGGTTCTGATACAAGGTTAGAACTTTGGCTGTTTTCAGTCCAGTTCTGGTTCTGTTCATGATATGAATATTCTGCTCATGTTCTGACCCGTTTGGGTCCACTGCAGTGAGTCAGAACCATGATGGCACCTCCTCCYTGTTTGACTGGTGAAGTTCTGATTCACAGAACCTGATCTGGTCAGCAGTTGGACCTCTGACCCGGTAGAACAGTTCTGTCTTCCTGCAGCCCTACTCCTGTTGCAGCAAAGTTCTGGTTCTGAATGTCGTGGGGTTCTGGTTCTGGTTCCTCTGGTTTTCACATCAAAACAGAACATGGCAGCTGTTTCTGTGGTTCTGCCTGTGACCCGGTCCATGAGTGGGTCAGAGGTTCTGACTGTGAAGGTGTTTAAAACGTGTCGGCACAGATCCAGAACCTTCAGCTCTGTTGGACTTTGGTTCTGTTCCTGGTCCAAACATGTTTAAAAAACAAAACAAAAACTGATTTGAAACTAAAAATTCTGACCCGTTTGACCCGTTTGACCCACAACCTGAGAGCAAAGTTCTGATCAAATGTCAGCTCTTCTGAGGTTTGGTCTAGAACCATCTGCAGAAAGTGTTTGGTTCTGATCCAATCAGACAGCTTTGAACCTGCTGGAGTTCTGATCGGACCGGCTCTGATCATTAAACCTGTTGGATCAGAAGAACTCTGCAGAACCGGACCAGACTGCAGTCAGAACCGTCAGATGTTCCGTGTGTTTGGGTCACAGAGTTCTGAAGTTGAGATATCAGCTGCAGAGCAGAACCTGCTGTTATCAGYCAGCTGCAGGATCACACCCGACACCACCCAGAGGCCCAGCTGTCCCTTAGCCCCGCCCCCTGGTGACACACCACCCATATGTTCTGATCAGCTAAATGCTACATGCTAACAGCATTGACATTGATCAGCTGTTATAATGGTGAATTTAAAGTCAGTTTGTTAGCTTAATGAATTCTAAACCTGCTGTTTTGGTGGATTGATAAACATAAATCTGTTTCCTGCTGGATGTGAACAAACCTTAACTGTTAGCATGAGAGAGCATGATACAGAAAATAAAATGAAATTCTTCAAATTGACAGTCCATTGTCTTCTACTATTTACTGCATCACCCTTTCTCTGGGAACATCAAACACTTTGTGACATGTGCTGGTGACGAGATCTGTCTGATGCAAATCACTATAGAAAATAATGGGACTGATGCTAACGACTGATGCTAATGACTGATGCTAACAGCTCTATAGAAAATAATAGGACTGATGCTAATGACTGATGCTAATGACTGATGCTAACAGCTCTATAGAAAATAATAGGACTGATGCTAATGACTGATGCTAACGATTGATGCTAATGACTGATGCTAACAGCTCTATAGAAAATAATAGGACTGATGCTATAATGACTGATGCTAACGACTGATGCTAATGACTGATGCTAATGACTGATGCTAACAGCTCTATAGAAAATAATAGGACTGATGCTATAATGACTGATGCTAACGACTGATGCTAATGACTGATGCTAATGACTGATGCTAACAGCTCTATAGAAAATAATAGGACTGATGCTATAATGACTGATGCTAACGACTGATGCTAATGACTGATGCTAATGACTGATGCTAACAGCTCTATAGAAAATAATAGGACTGATGCTATAATGACTGATGCTAACGACTGATGCTAATGACTGATGCTAATAACTGATGCTAACAGCTCTATAGAAAATAATAGGACTGATGCTATAATGACTGATGCTAACGACTGA